GAAAGAGATGCCGCGTCGGTCGATTGCATTAGGTAGGACTTATTATCTTTCTTTATGACTTCTCTTATATAAAAAACAATTTTATTATCTTTCTTCCCATATAACAAATAATTTTATTGTTTTTCACTATGACATCTCCCATATGATCTGTTAAGTTATAACTTAGTTAAATATCAATATTAATTAAAAAAAAAATAGGAGGTCCTCTAAAAGGTTGCCAAGTATAGAGTGTGTCTAAAAGATAATGAAATTAAAAATAGAAAAGAGACGATAAGGTCTCCAAGACATGAACTAAAACTATTGTGGCTGGTTCTATGGGAGTTTGACAGACGCAAACTAAAACTAGAGAGCCTAAAAGTATTACTGGTCTTTTCTAGCTAAATAATTTAAGGACAAAAAAAATACTGTTTTCATGATCGCTCCCTTGCATTTACATCAGTCAAAAATTTGACGTGAACACTTATAATGGTCGAATGTTGACTACACAAACATCAAATTGACATAGACCCTTGGATAATGGTCAAATGTTGACTTGAAATCAATCTAACAGTGTGGATAACAGTCTCTTTAGAATAATATTCAGAAATTAGAGTTGTTGATTTGATATATGGGACCCATCTCCACCCCTGCCCTTACGGAGGGTGAAGGTTTTAATTAACTACTACAACTTTTTCACAGTAATATATGTTTAATTAATTAATTAAAATAAATTATCTCAAGAGACTAAAAAATTGCAACTAACATTTGGCAGATACGACATAATACATATGCATCCAAGTGGGAAGGAAGACCTTACGTATTTCTTAACAATTATATGGCACCCATCTCCACCCTTGAGTTACGGAGGGTAAAGGGTTTAAGTACTACAACTTTTTCACAGAATTAAGATGGAGTGAACAAGAAAAAGGTTATCAGATATGGCAGAGTATTCAGTGAACGTTGCTATACCAACCTTGGCTTCCTTGCTTGTCCAAGGAACCAAGTTGTTGACAAGTGTAAAGAAACAAGTTGAAAGCATCAAAAGAGAATTGGAGATCATCAGAACTTTTGCATTTGAAGTTCAAGAAAGTATGAGACCTCTACCAATAGTAAACAACTATCCTGATTTACCATGTTTCCATTTATTTGGTTAGTTTTATTCGAGGAACCTGCACGTACTTCATTTACTTTTTTTATGTTATGAGTTTTACCTACTCCATTTTCTTTCAATAAAATGGATTTTATGTTAGCTATTTCAAAAGAAAGGTCAATGAATTGTAAACTATTGTGGAAAACTTGGCCAATAAAAAACCGAGTCCCCTTTTTTCCTCTACGATAATGCTACATTCACAATTCAATCTTACAATGTTTTCTCACAACCGTTGACATAACAACTTACAATTGGTCAGCACACAAATAGATAGGCAGAACCCATAGCAAGCAAGGTAAGACCTATTTGTGAGCTGACCAATTGTGTGAGAGAAGCGTGTGAGATTAGGTTGTGGACCTAGTATTACTCTTTCCTCTGTCCCCTTTTAAAAAAGTCCTCACAAAATTCCAATTTCAAATGGTAAATTTATGAGACTTTTAAACCACAAAATTGTGCAACTTGTATGAAGAAACTTGTCATATCTCTTGTGATCATGAGGTGTTACTCGCTCAATGATTAAAATACCTCTTCTAATCTAAATTTTGTCTTAAAGAAATATTCTTCTAGTAACACCATCATTTGGTAGACAAGACTTGGACATCCGACATTTATATTTAATCAATCTAATTTTGATCATTTTTTTGTTTAGAATGGAAAGCATCAGATATGGTGAATGCCAGATGATTATACTGAAGTTTTAAAAAAAGGTATAGGATTCGAACACATAACATGAAGAGTCAAAATTATTGATCATTAGATCAATTCTGGAGAATCCTGCTAAGAATGAAACAGAGTTGAGCCCCAAAACTTTGCAAAAAAAAAAAAAAAAAAAACTATGGTAAACTGAAAACCCAGCCCAGAATGTTACTTGAGTCGATGAGTATGGACAGTATAGTTGTTGTTTTACAAACGTTCAACACATTGCTGGGTGCTTGCCACTGAGATTGAACATATCAACTCATCGCGTTACAAGATCCGGCAAAGAGGACCAAGGTATAGCTTCATCTCATCAGGTCCACAGATCAACTAATAGATTTTATCAAAACCACTGAGTTGTTTGTTTTTATTAAACTCCACATGCTCTGATTCGTTATTTCATTTGGGTTACGATATAGAAGCATTAAAAAAATATTTCAAAGGAATAATATTGTAATTTGCCTGTTGTTTTTATAAGACGTAAAAAGGTACTTTGAATACACCTTTGCCAATCAAAATCAGCTCCTCTATTTTACCCTGTTTCCATGGATTTGGTTGGTTTTTTTCTATGAACCTACATATACGTCAAATAGTTTTATACCTAATTAAACTTCAAAATGAATTTGTTCTGTAAGGGTAATTTCCCAATTGTAAAATCTTTGATATTTGAGGCCTCTTTTTTTATAATTACATATCACCCAAAAGTATAGCCTTTGCTCACAACGACAAGCCATACAACACCCTGAAACCTGTGAGAACTCGATCCCATTGATATAAATTGGAATACAGAATATGATAACTGAAATTTATTATGAATCAAAAACTGCCATGTGTAATTTTTCATCAAACACCAAATAATGTTAAATTTAGCTATAGTGGGATATTGTGGCTTTCTTTCCTATATATTCCCATGTGAAATTGTATATATTTAGAAAAACTATTTAATAAAGAATACAATTGTATCAGGAATAGAATCATGAGAGTACTATTATGAATTGAAATATGAATCCTATTGAAAATAAAATGTCTCATATACTACCTATAAATATAAAACATGAGAACACAAAGTATTTTATGTAAGTGTTATTAAACATCATGGGTAGAGTGTCTTAGAAACTGTGATTGTTTTTGCTCTGGGTATCTAGTTGAGGTTGGTTAGAAACTAAGATTGATTCCGCCCTATTAATTATGTATCAAATTTATGGTATTATGTACTCTTGTATATTATGTTCATGAAACTACAGTTGATTTCTCTCATCTGTAGATGTAAACGGCTTATATCGAACCATGTAAATATCATGTCTCTTTATATAATATATTTATATTCTTATGTTATTAACCTCGAAAATGTATGTTTTTCGCTGCACGAACTCCTACTTTTGACTCTTAGCATTTTGCTTTATAATGACTGAAGTCATTAGAGTTAATTAATTATAAATATCTAGAGATTGTTAGTTCATTACCAATTAATTAATTTGAGGCAAAGGCATTCCTTTTGGAAAGAGATGCCGCGTCGGTCGATTGCATTAGGTAGGACTTGTTATCTTTCTTTATGACTTCTCTCATATCAAAAACAATTTTATTATCTTTCTTACTTTTCACTATGGCATCTCCCATGTGATCTCTTAAGTTATAACTTAGTTAAATATGAATATTATAACTTCAGTTAAATATCAATATTAATTTAAAAAAATAGGAGGTCCTCTAAAAGGTTGCCAAGCATAGAGTGTGTCTAGAAGATAATGAAATAAAAAATAAGAAAGAGATGATAAGGTCTCCAGGACATGAATTAAAACTATTGTGGCTAGTTCTATGGGAGTTTGACAGACATAAGCTAAAACTAGATGCCTAATAGTATTATTGGTCTTTTCTAGGTAAATAATTTAACGACAAAAAAATACTGTTTTCAAGATCGCACCCGTGCATTTACATCAGTCAAAAATTTGACATGAACACTTATAATGGTCGAATGTTGACTACACAAACATCAAATTAACATAGACCCTTGGATCATGGTCAAATGTTGACTTGACCTCAATCTAACAGTGTGGATAACAGTCTCTTTAGAATAATATTCAGAAATCAGAGTTGTTGATTTGATATGTGGGACCCATCTCCACCCCGCGAAGGGTTTAACTACTACAACTTTTTCACAGTAATAAATGTTTAATTAATTAATTAAAATAAATTATCTCAAAAGACTAAAAAATTGCAACTAACATTTGGCAGATACGAATACGACATAATACATATGCATCCAAGTGGGAAGGAAGACCTTACGTATTTCTTAACAATTATATGGGACCCATCTCCACCCTTGAGTTATGGAGAGTAAAGGGTTTAAGTACTACAACTTTTTCACAGAATTAAGATGGAGTGAACAAGAAAAAGGTTATCAGATATGGCGGAGTGTTCAGTGAACGTTGCTATACAAACCTTGGCTTCCTTGCTTGTCCAAGAAACCAAGTTGTTGACAAGTGTAAAGAAACAAGTTGAAAGTATCAAAAGAGAATTGGAGATCATCAGCTCTTTTCTCAAGGATGCAGATACAATGGCAGCGGCCGAAGAAGAAGGAGAAATCAATGGAGGTGTCGTAAGTACTTGGGTTAAACAAGTAAGGGAAGAAGCTTATCACATTGAAGACGTCATAGATGAGTACATACTCAATGAGGCGAAGCGTCATGAACCTGATGGCAAAGGTCTCACTGGTTTCCTTTGTAAAATGTGTTGCTTCATCAATAAACTTGAGGTGCATCATGGAATTTCATCTGAGATTAAAGATATCCAATCATCACTTGGTGACATACACAGAAGAGCAAAACACTATAACTTTAGGCACATAGATCAAGGAGATGTTATACCACACGACTCTCGAGTTGGTTCCTTTCTCATCCCAGGCGCTGAAGTTGTAGGCCTAGAATCTACTATAGACCAATTGATTGGTTTGTTGGTAAGTGGAACATCCAACCGTTCAGTGGTTGCAATTGTGGGCGAAGGAGGACTTGGCAAGACGACTCTTGCCGGGAAAATTTATAAGAATGATACAATGAAGAAGCATTTCGATTGACAAGCTTGGATCACAGTTGGGAAAGAATGCACCAAAACGGATATACTAAGGAAAACTATACAAGAATTTGACCGTGTGACAAGGTCTACAAATGGAGAGATGGACAAAATGGAGGAGAAAGATCTGCTCGCCACACTGGAGAGACAATTAAAAGACAAGTGTTACATGGTTGTGTTCGATGACGTGTGGACAGCTGATTTTTGGAGATATATAGAGTATGCTTTAATTGAGAACAATAAAAGCAGTAAGATTATGCTTACAACAAGAAACAGGGGCATTGTTGATTTGATTCCTTCTGTTGATGTCCATAGGCTACAGCCCTTGCCGTCAGATAAGGCGTTTGAACTCTTTTGTAGAAAGGCTTTTGGTCCTCAAGGGTGTTGCCCGCCCGAATTGGAGAAACTATCTCATGACATTCTTCGGAAATGTGGAGGTTTACCACTAGCAATTGTTGCCGTAGGTGGTCTTCTCTCAAACAAGAACAAGGTTGCTTTTGAATGGAAAAACTTACTTGATGACTTGGCGTCACAGTTGGGAAGCGATTCTCATCTAAAAGATTGCAACAAAGTCTTATTAGAAGGTTATTATGGTCTACCTCACCATCTCAAATCTTGCCTCTTGTATTTTGGTTTTCTTCCAGAAAGCTACACAATCAATTGTGCAAGACTGATTCGCCTATGGATTGCTGAGGGCTTTGTCCCTTATTCCAAAATAAATAAATACATTTGAAAATGTTATGGGAATAAAGTGCAAACCACTTTCTCTCTCGAGAGTTGGGACTTGGGCACATGTGGACTCTGTCTTTAGAATGACATAAAGAGCTTTGTTGATTTGATATATGGACCCATCTCCCCCTTGCCTTACAGCAGGGGGAAGGGTTTAAAATAATTAACTCGCAAAATGGCAACAAGAAGCTACAGCCTCTTTATGAAATTCTCGGTTCTCGACAATCAAACGATAAGATTTTAATGGTTTATGTGGACAGACAGAATTCATAAGTCATTCACACCAGCTGTTTACAACTAAGTTAACGGAGTCTCTGTCTCTACCACGTTCAATTCTCCCAAAAGTTTTACTAGCTAGTCAACAAAACCATCGTGTCCAACCACTGGTTTCTTAACACACAAAAAGCTACGAGATATGGCAGAGGTTACTGGGAACTTTGCTATCGAACACATTGGGTTCCTGCTTGTCAGGAAACCAAGCCGTTGAGAAGTGTAAAGAAAGAAGTTGAAAGCATCAAAAGAGAGGGGGGTCATCAGATCTTTCTCAGGGATGCAGATACAAGAGCAGCGCCGACGAGAAGAAGAAGGGAAGCGATGGAGGTGTCGTAAGACTTGGGTTAAAAAAAGTAAGGGGAAGAAGCTTATCACATTGAAGACGTCATAGAGAGTACAAAATTACTGAGGCGAACGCATCATGAACATGATGGACAAAGGTCTCACTGGTTTCCTGTAAAATGCATTGCTTCATCAATAAACTTAGCGTGTTCATGGAATTTCCTCCGAGATTAAACATATCAAATCATCACTTGCTGATATACAAAGAAGTGCGGAATACTTAAAAATCAGCCATTGATCAAGGAGATGTTTGTATCGCACGATTCGCGGTTTCTTCCCTTTCATCCCAGGCGATGAACTTGTGGGCATCGAATCTACTAGAGACCATTGATTGGTTGTTGGTGAGGGAACATCCAAGCGTTGCGGTGTTGCAGTTGTGGGGGCGAAGGAGACTTGGCAAGACCACTCTTGCCGGGGAATATTTATAAGAATGATAGTAAGAAGAAGCATTTCGATTGCAGGCTCGATCACGGTTGGGAAAGAATGCCACCAAAACGGATATACTAAGGAAAACTTTACAGGCACTGATGGACAAAAATGGGTGTGACAGGTGATATGCAACGGAAACATAAACTCTAACGCTAGCTTATTGAATATAATAATCAAGTAGTAAAAGCATAAATAAATTGCCAAATTAAAGCAAAAATAAAGAATCAGGAAATACGAGGTTCGTATTAAAAACCTACGTCCTGGGCGCTGCAAAAGAAAGCTCCACTATCTCCAAACAATATACAAATATTTGGCAAACAACAAATACCAAAACAAAGGGGAGATACAACAAAATTGCAAACTAAAGGTCCTTAAAGAACGAACCCTAAACAAAAGAAGTATAATGGAATTACAACTTGGGATACAATTAACATGATTTAGGTCCTTATATATAGGCCCCAAAGTTTCCCACTTTTATCTTTTCAATGTGGGACAAACAACCTTTTCTGGCCTATTACATATAAGTCCCAACCTTCTCCATTTATTTCTACCCCATGTGATTTTGCTAAAAGCCATTTTTCAACAAATCTCCACCCTTGGCGAATTAGCAAACCTTCAAATTTTGTATTCTTCTGTCAAATATTGCAACACCCCTCCAATGTGCCAAAAGCACAAATCAGCTCGCAGAATGTTGATCAAGTCAAACAGTGATTGAACTGATCATTGTCATACTTTGTTAAGACATCTGCAGGATTCTCAGCAGTTCAATCTTCTCTAATAAGATTCTTCCTTCAGAAATAATTTCCCGCACAATAAGTGGAACGACATTTAGCTATGCGAAAGTGGAATACTGGATTCTTTGCTAATGAATACACTTGACTGTCAGAATTAGATAGTGATCTTTCTGACTAATTTCAATTCAACAATAGCCTTGTAACCAAATAGCTTCCTTCACAGCCTCTGTAACTGCCATGTATGTCTGCCTCTGAGTAGAAAAAGCAACTTAGACTGAAAGAAGATTTCCAACTTACTGGAGCTCTAGCAAGAGTAAATACATATCCAGTAGTTGACCGACGCTTGTCCACAATCACACAGCATAATCAGAATCAAAATACCAACAGCAAATTGACTAAGATTTTCATCCCGCTCAAAAACCAACCAATGTTTACAGTACCTATAATAACCGTAAAATCCACTTCACAGCTTGCATGTCTTTACCAGGCTCATGCAATATCCTGCTCACATTCCAAATGGCATGTGAAATGGCGGGCTAGTACACACCATTGAATACATCAAGCTACCAACCGCATTTGAATACGGAACTTTTGACATATACTCTCGTTCTCACTGCGTACTGGAGATAATGACACTAAGCTTTATATGAGAGCAAGTGGAGTACATAGGTTTTGTACTTCAGTTATGCCAAAACGTTGTAAGACCTTCTTTAGATACTGCTTTTGTGTCAAACAAACCTTGCCATTTCCTCTATCCTAATATATCCATACCGAGAATCTTCTTGGCTTCCCTAAATCCTTATCTCAAATCTTGATTTAGTGAGCCTAACTTCTCAATTTCTATACATTCTTTGAAGCAATCAACATATCATCAACATATAAGAGTAGATAAATGAGAGTATCACCTTGTAGCCTTTGAACAATACACACAGTTGTCAAATTTGCTTCTTGTGTACTCCGACACTCATAAACCTCTACAAATCGCGTGTGTACCACTGCCTCGGAGATGTGTCAAACCATTAAAGCGATCTTTTTCAGATTACAAACCCAATCTTCCTTCCAATACTCCTAAATCCTTCTGGCTGAGTAATATAGACTTTCTCTTCCAAATCACCGTGTAGAAACGCGTGGTTCACATCAAGGTTGAACAAGTTCAAGATTTATGAGCAACCAAGGCTAACAAAATTCTAATGGAAGAATGTTTTACAACTGGAGAAAATACTCATGAAATCTATTCCTTCCTTCTGAGCGTAGCCTTTCGCCACCAACCTTGCCTTGTATCGGATGTCTTTCAAATTCGGAATCCTTCTTTCTTTGCATATACCCATTTGCATCCAATTGCCTCTTATTTTGGTAATTGAAACAACCTCCCAAGTTTCATTCTTATGGAGAGACTGCATCTCTTCTTTCATAGCTTTCATCCACTTACATTTTCGGAACTGTAGCTACTTCACATTATAAGTGGAAGGAACTTCACATCTTCAATTGGGAGTGATAGCCAACGTATCAGCAAAACGAGTCAGGCTTACGAAATTTCTCGTCGCCTAGAACAGCAATAGATCTTGTTGAGGTTCTTGGAAGAATCTCTTCTTCATCTCCAAGAAACTCCTCTATCATAGGAGTTTCATTTCCAGCAGGGCTAACTGATGTTGTGTCAAACTCCACTCTGAGGCGTATGCTCCACCTGTTGCGGATAAGTACTGAAAACCTTCATCTGACTTCCTGTTTTCTGTTCTACATAGAAGACGCATCAAATGTCAATCCCTACTAAACAGTATTTTCTTCGAACTTGGACACCAAAGACGGTATCCTTCACACCTGAGGTATCCCCAAAAATACTGTTTTCTTTGCTTAGGATCTAACTTAGACTCTTTACATGATAATAACAGTGGAACCAAAAACATGTAAAGAGTCATAATCAGAAACAGGTTTTCCAAACCATATCTCAATCGGCGTCTGTGCCTTCAATTGCAGTTGATGGTAGACGATTAATGAGGACACCGCACATATAACTGTCTCAGCCCAACTCTTTGCAACCCAGAATTGGACAACATACATGAACTTCTCCAGTATAGTTCGATTCATGCGTTCTGCCACCCATTGCTGTGTGGTGTATTCTCACCTGTAAAGTGACGTACTATTCCTATCTTGGCAAACTTTCAAAAACGATCACTACGACAATCCCACCATTATCTGTTACATAGCTGCTTGACTTTTCTGCAGTCTGAGTCTCTCATCATCTTTTTCCATTTAAGGAAAACACCAAGTACGTTATCCTAGTTTTTATCCATACACCCAAACTCTCTGGAAAATCATCTACAAAAGTGACAAAATAGTGCATACCCCCAAAGATGTTGTTTTGTAGGTCCCACACATCAGAATGAACATAATCCACAAATCCTCTTAGTATTATGGATTGCGGTTGCCGAATTTCACTCTTGTTTGTTTTCCCAAAACACAATGCTCACAGAAGTCCAGCTTACAGGTCTTTGCCCTTTCAATAAGCACTTGGATTCACAAACTAAGTAGGTTTTTCACCTGCATGCCCCAAACGCATAGCACAGCTTGAGATTGCTAATCTGCATCCTTCTGCACGACTGCAACTGTCGTTTCAATAACTTATACCATTATAGTAATACAGTTGTTTCTCCTCGTGCCTTTCATACCACAAGAGACGCCTGAAGAAACTTTTAGAATTCCCATCGCGCAGATTCACTGTGAAGCCTTTAGATTCCAAGGCCCCAAAGAGATGAGATCTTTCAACTTCGGACATACCGACATCGTCAGAGTTCTAGTGAGCCATCATGATCTTCAACCGAATTGACCTATCCCAGTTGTTTACAAGCATCATCATTGCCCATATAAAATCCACCATCAAGTTCTTCAAAATAAAGAACCACTCCTTGTGGGGACACTATGATAGGTACAAACCTGAATCCATAATCACTCATTTGATCCAGAGGTGGATGGTAGGCTACTAGACGAGAAATCAGACTAATCCTTTCACGCTCAACAAAGTATGCATCGAAGTAGCTTTGCTTCTCTTTCTTTTGAATTCGACATCTTCTTCCAATGCCCTTTCTCACGACAAAAGGCATTGACTCCACTATTGAGTTTTCCCTTGAAAGAGATCTTCCCCTTCTCTCCTTCTTACGACTCGATTTTGGACTCCGCCCTCTTGCTACAAGAGCTTCTAGCTGACTCATCTCTATTCTCCTTACTGATCTCTTCATGAATTTCATGATGGGACAGAGCAGAACAACGTCTCAAAGGACAATTGTTCTTTCCCATGAAGAAGTGTAATACTAAGTAGTCAACTCATTGGAAGAGACCATAACAAACATAGCCTTATGCTCATCTTTGAATGTTTCATCCAAATTTACAAATCAGCAACTTAATACTGTTAAATGTATCAATATGGCTAACTGAATTCGTACCTTGGTCTTAACTGAAGACGAACAGTAGCTGTTCATCAATAGAGCCGATTCTCGTTACTTATTTTCATATATGTTTTCGCAGCGCCTTCCATAACTTAATTGTGCAGACGTTCTTTCATGAATGGATATTTTGCCTCTCTACAAAGACGATAGGCGAATCCATCCCCACCACGCTTGTATGTTCAACCTCACCCAGTCTTTCTCTAGACATCTTTGGTTTTTTCCTCTCCAAACGATATAGAGCCTGCTGATGATACAAGCTACCATTACCTCACTCTGCCACAAGCCAAAAGTATTTTGGCCATCAAATTTTCAACATCAATTTTTGCATTTGAAACCGTTATCTCCTATGACTGGTGCGGATGGTGGTGTGCAAGTTGCTGCCTCGAACCGATGAATCCTGGGACGGGTGATGCCATTATGCCTTACGCCATTGGCTTGGTAAACAAAATTCCCAATAACCAAGCTCCACAAATTATTATATTCAATAGCTAACCAACAATTAACAATAGCCCTAGGTAGTAGTAAGTGCTGAATGATTAAATACGCACAGGGAAATACTCCCAGGAAACAATGGAGGGGTCACAATGGTCCCACTAAATCCAGTCTTCCTTAGACTTTTATCGTCTTTTTGACAGAATTTTCCTGACATGCAATACACCATACAAAAGCTACTCACTGTCCTAAACCTAGGCTCTGATACCAATTGCTATGCAACGGAAACATAAACTCTAACGCTAGAATGAGATTATTGAAATATAATAATACATAGTAACAGCATAATAATTGCCAATTCACAATGCCAAAAATAAAGAATATCAGGAATTAACGCGTTCGGTAGTTAAAACCTACGTCCTCGGCGCTGCAAAAGAAGCTCCACATATCCAAACAATATACAAATATTTGGGCAATAAACAACATACCCAAATACAAAGGGGAGTAGATACAACCAAACTTGCAACTAAAGGTCCTTAAAAAGAACAACCTAAACAAAAGAAGTATAATGGAATTACACTCTTGGGATACAATCTACATTGGATTTTAGGTTCCTTATATATAGGCCCCAAAAGGTTTCCCACTTTTTATGCCTTTTCAATGGCGGCAACAAACCCTATTTCTGCTATACATGAGTAATGCCCCTAAACCTGTTCTACATATCATTTTCTACCACACTCGGATTTCTAAAAGCCAGTTTTTCAACAACGGGTTCTAACTCTGCGGAGAGATGGGACCAAGTGGGAAGCTACCAGTTTGTAGCACTAATCTTCAAAATATAATCAGATTAGAATTGAAGTTGGCTGGATCAGTCAATGATTCCATGACAGTGCTTCAAGCTCTGCCTAATTTATTGGTGTTTATTCTCATTGCGACTGACTTGTGATGAGCAATTGCCTCATTAAGTGCCAGATGGGTTCAGTGTTGCGTTCAGAAAATGTTCATCCTCTTGCAGAAAATGCACATCCGATCCTTAAACTAGCAAAACTTTTGCACTACAGAGGCTTTCACATCACTTTTGTAAACACAGAGTTTATCCATAGTGTTCTACTAAAAACCCAAGGCCCTGACTCTCTCAATGGCATCTCCACTTTCCGTTTCGAGACCATCCCCGATGGCATACCTCCATCTGACATTCCTCCAGTCATTTGCATAGTATCTGATTGCATGATGAGCTTCACTCTTAAAGCTGCTCAAGAGCTAAATATTCCTAACGCTCTTCTATGGACAGCCAGTGCTTGCAATGCTAGGTTCAAACATACAGAGATTTGAGTCACAAGAAGTGGGAAAAAAATTAAAGTTGGCTATTCAAAACGCATTTAATACATTTAAAGTTTGACAGACAAACTAAAACCGGAGAGCCTAACAGTATACAGAGTCTTTTCTAGGTAAATAATTAAGGACAAAATTATATTTAACAAAGCAACAAATACTGTTCTTAAGGTTAAATTTTATGTTTAGCCTAGCTAAAAAAAATACTGTTTCCACAAATTAGCTTTGTTGATTTGAACGGAGGGTGAAGGGTTTAACTAGTACAACTTTTTCACAGTAATATATGTTTAAAACCATACATAACCTTAAGCCAAATTAATTGATAACATCATCTTCTATAAATTAATACATAGCCTTTCAAAGGCATGTTCTATAGTTTTCTGCAGTTAATGATACACTCTGCTTGATACGGCACAGTTGAGATGATTTTAGACAATAATGGTAGACACTACAAAGACTATGCATGAGGGATGAGTTTTGATGATTCTGAGATGCTGGCCAGCCTGGCCTATGACTCGCAGCTGCTTTTTTAAACGTTATAGCAACTGGCTTCGTTAGCTACTAGTTACTGAAATTCTTCCTGAGGTGTGATTTTATTTTTTCTCAACAGCTAGATGATCAGCTGGGTTTAAATGCCAAAGTGTAGAATGAATGGAATATATGGTACTGAATATCCGAACATATGATCAGTTGTGGGTTTCTTTTGAATTGGGAAACGGGAAATCTTCTTTAAATCAGCATCGGATTCCTTCTTCGTCACCTGCTATCTATAATCTATGGGTCCCTTTGGGAGCCACATGTGGTTCATCATCTCCCAACTCACAAGCAAATCTTCCATCACTTAGTCATCCTTTTACTTTGCCAAAATGAAAGGATTTTGTGATGCATATATTTCATCAATTAAATGATAATGGCATAATAAAACTGTTAAAGATGAAGTTAAATAGTTATTTTAGAAGCTCAAATTAAATGTATGAAATGGAGAAAAATGCTTTTACTTTGTAATGAAGAGTGCTATATATATAATTAAGTTTAACCTTAGTGTTGTGTATATGTTTTCAATCATATATAGCAATATCTCAAGTTTTGCCCTTTCTCCTCTCTATTTTATAATATATACATTTTATGAAATTCAACTACAAAATTTTCTTTAACGAGGTTTATTTATGTTGGACTTGGAGATCACTTTAACAATAAATGATTCGTCACACATGGACGGTTCGTCTCACAAGGTCTCGAGCCTGTAAGTAGTTTGGACTTGCACTATAAAGAGTTGTTGCATTTCTCTAAGGAATAGAACTCCTAATGGTGTTTGTTGGCCGTCGTGACCGAGTGTTACGGCCAAAGATCTGGCCTTTTCCGGCCAGATCCACGGTGGATCTACCGTGGATCTGGCCGGAAAAGGCTAGATTGGCGCACTACCGGCCAGATTCAGCCGGTAGTGCGCCATCCTACCAGATTTCGGCCATTTTTCGGTGGTGGTGGCCGGAATCTGGTAAATATGGATTATTGGGATGTTTTTGCAATTTTAAAAAAAATATTTAGGGGTATTTAATTAAATTATCAAATTTAAGGAGTTTAAAAAAAGTTGAATAATATTGGGAGTAGTATTCCCAAAAATCTGAGTTTTTTGGTATTTTACTGTTTAACTTTTTTGGGAATACTAAAAGTAGTATTCTCAAAACTGAAACAAACGCAGCCTAGATTTTTTTATTGACAAAACAGATTAGCGTGTGGAAAATTTAGCCCTCTCTTTTCTCGTAGGGGACAACCAGATTCTCTTCATTGACAAAACAGATTAACGTGTGAAAATAAAGGATAAAATTCAATTCATTCATTTTTACCTCTAAAGTTTGTCCGATATAATGAGAAAGTAACACTTAAGTCCTCATTAGTTATCAACTATTACAATTAGCAATAGGTACAAAACAAACGATTAGGCACATTTTTTAACCGCACCTTTTGTTTATAAATAAATAAATAATTTGAAAATGTTATGGAATAAAGTGCAAACCACTTTCTCTCTCGAGAGTTGGGACTTGGGCACATGTGGACTCTGTCTCTTTAGAATGATCATAAAGCAGCTTTGTTGATTTGATATATGGACCCATCTCCCCCTTGCCTTACGCAGGGTGAAGGGTTTAAAAATAATTAACTCGCAAAATGGCAACAAGAAGCTACAGCCTCTCTTTATGAAATTTCTCGGTTCTCGACAATTCAAACGATAAGATTTTAATGGTTTATGTGGACAGACAGAATTCATAAGTCTATTTCACACCAGCTGTTTACAACTAAGTTATACGGAGTCTCTGTCTCTACCATCGTTCAATTCTCCCAAAAGTTTTACTAGCTAGTCAACAAAACCATCGTGTCCAACCCACTGGTTTCTTAACACAACAACCAAACATTGTATACTTGATCATACATCTTAACAATTAAGATGGAGTGAACAACAAAAAGCTTACGAGATATGGCAGAGTTTACTGTGAACTTTGCTATCGAAACATTGGGTTCCTTGCTTGTCCAGGAAACCAAGCCGTTGAGAAGTGTAAAGAAAGAAGTTGAAAGCATCAAAAGAGAGCTGGAGTTCATCAGATCTTTCCTCAGGGATGCAGATACAAGAGCAGCGGCCGAAGAAGAAGGAGGAAGCGATGGAGGTGTCGTAAGTACTTGGGTAAAACAAGTAAGGGAAGAAGCTTATCACATTGAAGACGTCATAGATGAGTACAAACTTAATGAGGCGAAGCATCATGAACATGATGACAAAGGTCTCACTGGTTTCCTTCGTAAAATGCATTGCTTCATCAATAAACTTAAGCGGTGTCATGGAATTTCCTCCGAGATTAAACATATCAAATCATCACTTGCTGATATACAAAGAAGTGCGGAATACTATAAATTCAAGCCCATTGATCAAGGAGATGTTGTATCGCACGATTCTCGAGTTTCTTCCCTTTTCATCCCAGGCGATGAACTTGTGGGCATCGAATCTACTAGAGACCAATTGATTGGTTTGTTGGTGAGTGGAACATCCAAGCGTGCGGTGATTGCAGTTGTGGGCGAAGGAGGACTTGGCAAGACCACTCTTGCGGGGAATATTTATAAGAATGATGTAGTGAAGAAGCATTTCGATTGCCAGGCTCGAATCACGGTTGGGAAAGAATGCACCAAAACGGATATACTAAGGAAAACTTTACAGGCACTGATGGACAAAATGGGTGTGACAGGTGATATGCAACGGAAACATAAACTCTAACGCTAGCTTATTGAATATAATAATACAAGTAGTAAAGCATAAATAAATTGCCAAAATTAAATGCAAAAATAAAGAATACCAGGAATTAACGAGGTTCGGTATTAAAACCTACGTCCTCGGGCGCTGCAAAAGAAAGCTCCACTATCTCCAAACAATATTACAAATATTTGGGCAATACAACAAATACCCAAAACAAAGGGGAGATACAACAAAACTTGCAAACTAAAGGGTCCTTAAAGAAAGAACCCTAAACAAAAGAAGTATAATGGAATTACAACTTGGGATACAATTAACATTGATTTAGGTCCTTATATATAGGCCCCAAAAGTTTCCCACTTTTTATTCCTTTTCAATGTGGGACAAACAACCTTTTCTTGGCCTATTACATATAAGTCCCTAAACCTTTCTCCATTATCATTTCTACCCCATGTGATTTTGCTAAAAGCCATTTTTCAACAACAGGGTCTACTCGTGGAGAGATGGACAAAGTGGGTGTGACAGGGTCTACTCATGTAGAGATGGACAAAATGGAAGAGACTGATCTGCACGCCGCACTGGAGAGACAATTAAAAGATAAGTGTTACATGGTTTTGTTCGATGACGTGTGGACAACTGATTTTTGGGGATATATAGAGTATGCTTTAATTGAGAACAACAAAGGAAGTAGGATTATCCTTACAACCAGAAACAGGGGCATTGTTGATGTGATTCCTTTTGTTAATGTCCATAGGCTACAACCCTTGCCTTCAGATGAGGCATTTGAACTTTTTTGTAGAAAGGCTTTTGGTCCTCAAGGGTGTTGTCCGCCTGAGTTGGAGAAACTGTCTCGTGACATCCTTCGGAAATGTGGAGGTTTACCACTAGCAATTGTTGCCGTTGGTGGTCTTCTCTCAAACAAGAACAAGGTTGCTTTTGAATGGAAAAAGTTACTTGATGAGTTGGGGCCACAGTTGGGAAGCGATTCTCATCTAAAAGATTGCAACAAAGTTTTATTAGAAGGTTATTATGGTCTACCTCACCATCTCAAACCTTGTCTCTTATATTTTGGTTTTTTTCCAGAAAGCTACTCAATCAATTGTGCAAGACTGATTCGCCTATGGATTGCTGAGGGCTTTGTCCCTTATTCCAAACACCGCAGATCTGAACAAGTTGCTGAAGAATTCTTGATTGATCTCATTAACAGGAGCTTGGTTCAAGTGGTGAAGACGGATTTCTTTGGAAGACCTAGATTTTGTCGAGTCCATGATCTAATGCACCAGATTATCCATAAAAAGACCGAATATTTGGGCTTCTCTCATTTTGTGAACAGAGAACACTCAAATCTCCCAACCAAAATTCGGCGCATTTCTATACAAGGGAGTGCTGATAGTGTTCTTGAGAGCATCAAGAACTCGAAGGTACGTTCTGTTTCTCTTTTCAGAGTTGATAAGGTGCCTAACTCTTTCATGACTACACTTGTGGATTTCAAACTTATAAAAGTACTTGATTTTCAAGGTAGTCCTATAGAGTATCTTCCTGAAGGAGTGGGAAACCTCTTCCACTTGCACTACTTAAGTGTGAAAAATACAAAAGTAGAAGTACTTCCCAAGTCCATAGGTAAGCTTATCAATTTGGAGACCTTGAATTTGAAGTTTTCTCTTGTCACTGAGCTTCCCTGTGAGATCAAGAATCTTAAGAAATTGTGTTATCTATTGATATATCATTTCAACAGTAGTGGTCTTTTGCAAACAGTAAAAATACCTATGGAGTTTGGCTCTTTATCGGATCTACAGAAGCTAGGTTATGTGGAAGCTAACTTTGAAGTACTCAAAGAGCTTAGGAAGCTACGGCAATTGAGAAAGTTAGGAATAAGGATCACAACTAGAAATGAGAAGGATTTGTGTGGTTGCATTGCCAATATGGAAAAAGTTGAATGTCTTAGTCTTAGGTCGACACGTAGAGAAGAAATTCTTGATATAGAATCGATGACTTCTCTCCTTCGTGGTCTTCAGCGCCTCTACTTAGGAGGAACTATGAAGAAGCTACCAAATTGGATTTTTAAACTTGAATATATTGTCAGAATTGGTTTGGACTTGTCAGGATTAACTGATGATCCCATAAGAGTCCTGCAAGCCCTGCCTAATTTATTGGAGCTTAGGTTGTCTAACACATGCCATGGTGAGCAAGTAAATTTCAAAGGAGGTTGGTTTCCAAAACTAAAAATTTTGGATCTCAAAAGAGTGGAATTGATGATTATAGACAAAGGTGCAATGCCTAACCTTGAAGAATTATATATTGGACCAAGCCCTCGATTGAAAGAGATTCCAATTGGAATTGAACATCTAGGAAACCTAAGGATTTTTCAATTTCGCTTTATGTTGAAAGAAATTTATTGTATGATAAAAGACGAGAAGTGGAAGAAAGTTACCCAACATATACCGGATGTCGGTGTCTCTTTCAAAATGGAAGGAGGAATATCTTATGAAACTACTAAGTATCTCTTGTCTCTCTCGCTTGATGATTTTGAGCAATTTATTGAAAAAGTAGAGCGAAGTAACGTGTCCTCTCATCTGTGAACAACAGGTATTTCATTTAAATTATATAAGACTTAGTGTGATCTTAATTTTATATTTTTTGTCCAACTATAAAAGTAAAAATCTTATAATTTTTTCATGGCAATGACTTAGGGTGTGTTCTGACTTTTCACTTAATAGAAAAAAGTAAATTTTTTTAATTTACTTCTAAAATCTGATTTTTTTTATTTTTTATTTTATAAATGGCAACTCTAATTATCATAATAAATGCAAACTTTAAATAAAAATATTAAAAGAACTCTAATAATTTATTTTATTTAGAACATTTTTTTTTTTACTGAAAACCCAGCCCAGAATCTTACTTGAGTCAATGAGTATGGACTGCATGGCTGTTCTTAAATCTTAACCAGATAAGAAACGATCTTAAAGCCAATTTAGAAGTGTTATTTTATCTTATAAAGATTGAAAACTGGTTGATGAAGTTACTGGTCACAACACTGTCGATACCATTAAGATCGACGACAATGTTTGATGGTGACTTTAAAATGTGCATAAATATATAATTATAAATTGAACATGAATTATGGATTATTTTTACGGATTACCTTCTCATTACTTAAATTTGATTCTATTTCATCTATTGCTATGAACAGAGATCAAACAGCTGCGGACACGCTGAAGAATCTTTCCCATTTGTTGACCTGATGAAGTGAAGAAATGAGAGCTGTTGAGTTTGAGTTTAGAGTTCAGGAATCAGTTTAAGTTTCGTAACTGTTGAAACAGTGATATTTTGCTGGAAATGTAACTGAAATTCAGTTTGGTTTTGAAAAAACTTTTTGACACCAAAGACCTCTCTGTTTTTGCCTTGCATCCTGCCGTGTGTGAGCTGCTGAAGTTGATGTGTTTAGGTGTAGTCAGCTGTGATTAAGACATGTATTAATTGGTAAGCTTGGTTTAAATTTCAAATTTGTTAATATCCCTGCAAAGTTGGTGTAACAGTGGGATGTTTTGTTAAAGTTAATGTAATGTAAGACAGAACTCTCTCAACACATGTTTCTCTTTCTTTTCCTTAATTCTCCGGCCAATACACCTACAGTAACGTTATAATCCAACAGAAGTCCAGGGTTCCCTTATGCACTCCATTAGTTTGGTAGTTGAAGTGCTACGTGTTGATACTTGGACTGTTAATTGAAGCGATGCGTTTTGATTATTGAACTGAACTTTGCACCCTACGCGTTTGAGAAAGTCAGGCATTAGGATGACGAATGGATATGAGAAGGATCTGTGAGCTTGCCTTGCTACCATGGAAAACTTGAGTCCTTGGCTGTACAATTGACACATAGAGATGAAATTCTCAACATAGAAGCTACCAGACTGGATTTTCATTCAATTGGAAGAGATTCCAATTGGAATTGAGCTTTAAGATTCTTGTGAATGGTGTTGCATTGCACTGGTTCAGCTTCGTCATATTGTTCTATTTGTGGGAAAATGCTGGTAGAGATGCAGTGTTGCTGAACACATCAACTTTCTAGTAAAATTTCTTCGTAATTTCTACTGAGTTTATTATTGTTGCTGATGTTATTGTGATAGTCTTCGTGTTTCTTAACTTCTATCAAATGTGTTGTTCAAAACATATTAAACTCGTTTCTTTTTCTTGGATTGTTTATCACTTTCAATACATGCTTATTGATGGCTACTTCCATTGGAAGTTGAAGAGAGTATAAGCCTTTTTGAGAATACACCTCTCCCGATCAAAAACAGCTCCACTGTTTTACCCTGTTTCCATGGATTTGGTTGGTTTTTTCTATGAATCTGCATATACATAAAAATAATTAAACATCATAATGAATTTGTTCTATAAGGGTAATTTCCCAATGTAAAATCTTAGATAGCTGAGGCCACTCTTTTATAATTATATCACCCAAAAGTACAACCTTTGCTCACAACGACAAGCCATACACCACCATGAAACCTGTGCGAACTCGATGCTCTGTTCCCTTTTATCAATTAAATTCCTCTCTCGGTAGAATTCAAACACATAACACGAAGAGCCAAAATTATTGATCATTAGATCAATTCTGGACAATCCTGTTGATGATGAAATAGAGTTGAGCCCCAAAATTTTGTAAAAAATTATGGTAAACTGAAAACCCAGCCCAGAATCTTACTTGAGTCATTGAGTATTGACTGTATGGCTGTTGTTTTCTGAGTGCTTGATAAAGATAAGAGTTGGTCTAGCTGGAATGAATTATTTATTAATCATTTGTCAAGTTGCCGAATGGTCTAACAGGGTCCACTCCAGGATTAAATAATATATTGAATGATCAGTATGAAATATCTACTATTTCCTTATTAATTACTAAGAGTTTCAGAAGACACAATTCCAGGATTCGGATTTCTCGATGATATTTTCTCCTACTTGAACTTGATAGTAATCATTCATGCTACATGATCATTAGGTTAAACATTAAGCAAGCAGTGCACATTTGAACTGTATTTTATGAACAATTTGATAATTTCAAACATTCACTCTCTATGGTGAAATTGAAACGTTTCCAATAAAGCATACACCTTAGGGAGAAAACTTTGCCAATAAAAAAGAGGGTCCCCTGTTTTCCTCTGCTCCCTTTTAAATTGTATGAGCTAGATCTCCATCCATATACATTTTCATGAACAACTGGCAAATCATTTATGATGCATATTCTCTCCTTATCAAATACAATCAAATACCTTTTTTGCAGTAAAACAAAGTTAATGACCTTAATTATGAAAATTATAGGTAAACTGATACAAGAAGTAAAACAAAGATAATTATGAATTAAGTGAGAGATGGGTTGTGTTGCGTTCAGAGAATGTTTGTCCTCATGCAGTTTGTGTTCCATTCACAGGTCAAGGCCACATACATCCAATGCTTAAACTAGCAAAACTTTTGCACTACAGAGGCTTCCACATCACTTTTGTAAACACAGTTTATCCATAGTGTTCTACTGATAACCCAAGGCCCTGACTCTCTCAATGGCATCTCCACTTTCCGTTTCGAGACCATCCCCGATGGCATACCTCCATCTGACATTCAGTCTAAACTCAACAACACATCTGAGTCAAACGTTCCTCCAGTCACTTGCATAGTATCTGATTACATTACGAGCTTCACTCTTAAAGCTGCTCAAGAGCTAAATATTCCCAGCGTTCTTTTATGGACAGCCAGTGCTTGTGGCTCCGTGGTTACACGCAGTTTCAAAATTAAAAAGAAAAGGGTTTGTGAGAGAATTGATGGATGGAGAAAAGGGCAAACAGATGAAGAAGAAAGCGATGGAATAGGAAGTATTGGCAGAAAAGGCAACTACGGCACCTAATGGGTCATCTTACAAGAATTTTGAGTAACTGATTAACAATGTTCTTATAAAATCAAGAAATAATTATGAAGATTGATATTTTGTTACCAATAAATTTGCAGCGCAGCACACCATTTTGAATTTAATACCAGTTTTAGTTGATATATTATAATTTATTTTATTAGTATGATATCCATGTTCAGGATTTTAATGATAAATTTCATTATTTAACGGTGGTATGGTTGGAGTATGGAGGGAGGCGTTTACACTTCCACGGTGTTATATATGTGATGCTAGCCTACAACTCGCAGTTGCTTTTTTAAACGTTTTAGCAACTGGCTTCGTTAGCTACTAGTTCCTGGAGTTCTTCCTGAGGTGTGAGTACAACAATGTTCGAAGAAAAGTTGTGGAAATGTTGACAACGCAAAACCAGTCCAAAAATAAGCCCATTTGTACCATTGCGCAGGCTGCCCGCCAAAGCAGTTTTATGTGCATCGACCCATTAGGCAGCAGAGTTAAAGACTAGCTAAACGTACCAACATGTCAGCAAGCTAACGGTACAATTTGTGAATCAATTGACTCACCATAGCAACCGTTATGACCAATTTATGAATATACAGCAAATTAACGCGCACCAGCGTTGACTGTTCGTAAATGAAACGAAACCCCATGCTACACAAGTCCAAAAACTTGTGTAGACCAACCGACGCAATCCTCACACGTGCAGCGACATGTGGGATTTTAAATTGCTAAAAAATATGTGCAGTAGTGAAAATGGAAGCGATTTTACGAGGAGTACAGCAGGCTGCCCAAAATGGATCTGTTGTGTGTAAAATCGCACAACGGATCAAGCATTTGTGTGGAGACACAATGTGCAGGTCAATTGATAAGAGTGTAATTTATATATTTTTATTCCTTCCATATTATGTTTTTTGTTATGTTTTATGCCTAGTTGAGCTGATTAGAGCTTATTTTGTAAGTTTGGCATATTTGGATAGACTTTAGGAAATAATTGAGAAAAGATTAGGAAATTTTAGATTTTTCGTTATTTTGACCAGTGCTACTTTTTCAGGGAGCTAGATTCCTCGATTGCAAAAGTGTTCTTCAGAGAAATTAAAGTAGACGAATCAAGCTTTTCAGGAAGGTATTATGGGCAAGAATCCGAGTTCGTTTGGGTTCTCGTAGTTGTTGTAAAACCAGACCTGGAATCATAGTCGCGGAAGGATTCCTTAGCTGAGTATTGAATCTTCGAACGGGCCTAACTGGAGTGTCAGATATCGAAAACGGGTGATTCACAAGCCCAGATTCATCTACACATCCTGGACTACAATTTTCGTGAAGTGATGGAGCCTAGAAAAGATCTTTTACATTGCGAGAATCCTGGTGAAAACTGGAGACGAATTCTAGAATCCATATCTGATCAGATTTTATCAAATCTGGAAGTCTATATTCTAGGAAACGTCTACGAAAGAAATTCCGTGATTCTTGGGGAAGAATTAAGGAAAACACATGTTATTTAATTAGAAGTTTTTAGGTTAAACGGGGGGAGGACAGTAGAGTATTATTTTTGAGAGTTTTTGCGTTCTAGATCAAGATGTGCGGCTAATTTCCTTCTTCAGTTCAAGGGGATTTTGAAGCCTAATTTCATGTCATTGGTGTAACTTAACTTCAGTAACGTTGTTCTCAATCTCGTTTTTATTAGAATTG